AGAGTCTCACTCTGTCGCCCAGGCTAAAGTGCAGTGGCTCAAACTCAGCTCACTGCAACCTCTGCCTCCGGGTTCAACTGATTCTTCTGCCTCAGCATCCTGAGTAGCTGGGATTACAGGCACCCACCACCACACCTGGCTAGTTTTTGTATTTTTAGTAGAAACAAGGTTTCACCACGTTGGCTAGGCTGGTCTCGAACTCCTGACATCAGGTGATCCACCCGCCTCAGACTCCAAAGTGCTGGGATTACTGGCATGAACCACCGCACCCAACTGAAATGTTTCTCTAAATAATAATAATAATAATATAATAAATAAAAATTAAAAATAAATTTTTTAAAAAAGCTAAAACCAAAAGAATGCCAGGGGCGGGTGCAGGGGCTTACTCCTGTAATTCCAACACTTTGGGGGCCTGAGGCAGGAGGATCTTTGGAGCCCAGGAGTTTGAGACCAACCTGGGAAATATAGTGAGACCCCCCCATCTCTACAAAAAATAAAAAATTAGCTGGGTGTGGTGGTGCACACCTGTAGTCCCAGCTACACCGGAGGCTGCGGTGAGAGGATTGCTTGAGCCCAGGAGGTCAAGGCTGCAGTAAGCTGTGATTGCACCACTACACTCCAGCCTGGGCAACAGGACAAGATTCTGTCTGAAAGGAAAGGAAAGGAAGGGGAGGGGAGGGAAAGGGAGGGAAAGGGAAAGGGAAAGGGAAAGGGAAAGGAAAGGAAAATAGCATAACAGTTTCCATTTCTAGTTTTATTGCAAAAGTAATTGTGGTTTCTGCCATTACTTTTAGTTAACATTATTAATGTAATTAATGCCATTGAAAGTCATGGCAGGCCGGGCGTGGTGGCTCATGCCTATAATCCCAGTACTTTGGGAAGCTGAGGTGGGCGGATCACGAGGTCAAAAGTTCGAGACCAGCCTAGCTAACACGGTGAAACTCCGTCTCTACAGAAAATACAAAAATTAGCTGGGCGTGGTTGCGGGTGCCTGTAATCCCAGCTACTCAGGAGACTGAGGCAGCAGGATTGCTTGACCCCAGGAGGCGGAGGTCAGAGGTTGCCGTGAGACGAGATCATGCCAATGCACACCAGCCTGTGCGACAGAGTGAGACTCCATCTCAAAGAGGAAAAAAAAAAAAGGGGGCTGGGCACGGTGGCTCA